AGTTGGATTATCACTCAGTTTGCCTCACACATTCACATTCCCTGCACCACGAATCATAACAACTTTTGGTGAATTTGTAGCAACTTCACAACTGATAAGATGCACATATTATAGCAACAACTGTGTGTGCACATCCAAGCATTCACCCTCTAACAGCAAACTTTAGGTCATTCAGACTGAAACATTAGCGATTGCCTGCAGAGGCAATGAAAAATGTTGTAAGGCTTCTGATAAAGCCAGTAGATATCAGAATAAAGCAAATCTTCCTCTTCTATGCGTCCATCAGTGTTTAATTTAAGACTATATATGCAGAGCATTTCTAAAAATCTGGTTTTGAGATTGCATATCAGCACATGCCTCTGTTGCTCTCCACAGGGAGAGTTTGCCTGCATGCACTTGAGGACTGCGCAAATGGGATTTGCAAATACTTCTTTGACTAAATACTGAGTAGAAATGGAAACCTAAAAGGGGGGCAGCTGTGGGTCAGGAGGTAGAGTAGGTTTTCCACTGATTAAAGAGTCAGGTTTGAAAAGTCACCAGTTCTTTCACGTGCTAAAAATGATTGGTTCAAGCATGGGCAGCACAGTGTGGGACAACCACATAGCTACAGCGCACTTAATCTAAGCTGTCATGTTTCTGCATTTCCATCTAACGCCATGACATCATATCTGGCTTTACTAATCTCACAAACAGCTGCAAACAAAACATCGTAAAAATACGGGCTTATCTAGAAAGGCTCCATCTTAACAACTGGCCTCCCGCTGCTGTCATCTCAGTGAGGCCTTGTTCTGCTGAAGGTCTCTTTCTGTTAAAACAAAGCAGATCTTTTTCACTTCCACACTGGCCTTTACGTTAAAGTAAAACCTGCCCTGTGGCTGCTTTTGTCGTGAAACTGAATTGAAGTTTATTACAACCACAACATTTTTAGAAGTGCAATGACATTATATTTTAATTGCCAAGAATTCTTTTCTTTTTTTGTCTTTGATAACATCTGGAGGAAGTTTCTGGTGTTTATGGGCAGTCAGTCTTCTGTTATCGAGCAGCACATACTAAACAAACATCCGATGATTCTTTCTTCAGATATATGAAACAGTAGTTTGGAAACAATAAAATATTGTTATTTGTGTAATTGTGCCTCTTATTAATGCATCAATTCTAAATAACGGCCAAATCGGATGCATTTACATTAGGGCTGGGTATCGTCACTGATTTCTAGAATCGATTCGATTCCGATTCACAAGGTCCCGAATCGATTCGATCCACGATTCTATTTAATTCAATTTGAATCTGGGAAATTTTGCCTCAGACAGTCGGAAATATTATAATTCAGATCAGTACATTTACATATTTTTGTATCTATAAAAAGAAAGCTGACACTCGACAGACTTTATCAAAGGTGTGAGCGTCACAGCAGATGCCTTTGTGTCAAAGTAGCTGAAGATAAAACACAGAAAAACATGAAGGTGATTTTCCTGGCCTGGGATTTTATAATAAATATTCTGCAGTACATCAAAAACGAAAGAAAACCATTAATCAACACATGAACATTACCTCTGAAGTTATTAGAGGTTTTATTAGAGACACGGCTAAGCGTTTTGCAATTTTTGTTTGTTCAGTAGCCTATTGAACAACAGAAATTAGGTTTTCTTTTTGGAAGTAAGTAAAAGGGAAAAAAAAAACAGCGGCTGACAGCGCTGTAAACAACGGTAGACTTGTGCGTAACAAGCCAGCGAATAATGCAGAAAACTGATTTTTAGACGGGAAACTGTTCTTGAAGTACAGAGAGAGGGAGAGAGAGAGAGAGAGAGAGAGCTGTGCATGAAGTGTGATTTTATCATGGTGGAAGCAAAACAGCAAAAGTCAGAGGGAATTCATGACAATGTTTATGTGAAGCGCAGTATAGATCTTCTTTTGCTGTTGGTTCAGTCAATATTGTTTGGAGAGAGATAAAACCTGCAGTTTCAGAATCTAGTGCAAAAAGGGCGTAAACACAAAGCGCGGACCCGCCGAAACATCAGAATTAGCGAGCTGTCAGTTTTCAGCCCCGACCGAGTCCGTGCCGTCGGGTGAGAAAGGCGACATCTCACTGATTCAGATCCATCGGCAGGTCCGCGCTTTGTGTCTTTGTGCAGAAGACTGTCATTTACTGTTTTAGCTGTTTGGCGGTTGTTGAAATTTTGTGAGGTTTAACCTGAGATTCTGGCGTTTTGGGCAAAATAAATTTATATTAAAAAATCGATTCAGGATTTTAATGAATCGATAT